TATATTCTTTCTTTGGGTCTGATTTTGTGTTTTACAAACCTGAGAGCATAAAGGGATACACTTTGGCTTCTTTAAATAGCACATAGTTAAGAAATGTGAATAAGCCATTTGTAATGAATGTAAGTGTGAATACATTCTGCTTAGTGTTCGTGGGTCTAACTTTATTTTTACAGCTAAAAACTTTTTATTAGTATATTTCTTATGCATTTTAAGAAGGATTTTTTCTCAGAAAATTAAAAAATTTGATTTGAAATACAAATTTGTCAATATCAATTGGATTTCTTATAACAGCCAACAGTAGATGATGGCCCTGGCCTGCATTTGGTTTCCAGAAGTGCTGGAATACGTGCTGGTGAGGATTAAAATGGTGCATTGGGAATACATTAGTAGTTCCCCAAACTGTCAAACTGTAAGAATTACCTAGGCTCATTCTCTAGAGATCTGGACTGGGGAAGGGTTAAAGCTGGGAATTTATACTTTGATTTAATCAATTGATTCTGATATGTAGGCCAATTTGGGAACTACTAAAGAGACTGTAAGATTTTGTTCCCTCTCTCTAGTTCTAAAATTCTATGACTTTGTCACATTTCTAGAAATTCAGAGCTAGAAAGTTCTTAGAGCACATTTAAACTAAACACCTCATTAAAAATAAAACTTTTTTTATAGAAAGTGCTAAAAAAGAAAAATGGATACAAAGAAGAAAAAATCTTTAATTTCTATTTTCACCACCTACACGTAACTCTACTTATGCTTAGGTAATTTTCCTTTTTTACTCTTAAAAATGTATATCTTAAAAAATGGTAGCACAGTGTACATATATATAAATATATGTATGTGTGTTTATAACCCATACTCACTTAATATATTGGGAACATTTTCCATATCATTAGAAATTCTGTAAGGTTATTCAGTCAATAGTTCAGCTTTAACACAATTATCTTAATGATTTTCTTATTATTGGTAATTAGGTTATTTTCCTTTTTTTTTCTCCTATAAGTGATGCTGAATTAATAACACGATTAAAAATTCTTTGTGCACATCCTTGATTATTTCTTTAAGATAAATTCCCAGAAGTTCAATTTCTGGAAATATAGCATGATGGCTGGGAGCATGGACTCTGAGCCATACAGCGTGGATTTGTATGTAGGTTTTACCCAGTATTAGTTGTGTGAACTTAGGCAAGGTTTAGTGCCTTGGTTTCTGCATGTATAAAACTGGGCTAAATATAGTACTTATGTCATAAGATTGTTGTGATGATTAAATAAGCTAATATACAGAAAGCACTTAGAACAATGTATGGGGCAGAGTAGGAGTTAAATGTTGGCTATTATTATTCCGGCACTAAAGCAGTGTATGCCTGAGCTTTTTGAGTTAGTGCGAATTTTCCCTCCAGAAAGGTTGTAGCATTAATGTTCCCATCAGAAAGTTTAGAGGCCACTTTGTTACATCCTTACCAACACTGCCAATTTTTTTTCATTTCTAGATGAAGAAAATGAAGTACAGCAAAATCAGGTTCTTTGGCACAGGCCTCCAGGCACCAAGAGATTTGGGTCTAGAATACAGATCCGTCAGCAAACTTACCCCAACTCCACAAACTTACCCTTACCACAGTAACATATTAAGAATTTTATATTTGCACATTTTAATGCACCTTGTTTTGTAGGGCTGATGGGAGTTAAGACTATTTTTGCCCTCTGGCAACATTGTAACTGTGAGAACAATGGACTAATAAAGGAGTCATTATTCTCTAGTGTGCTCTGTGGTTGATTGCAACTTAGACATTTTCACTCTCAGAAACAGAAATTGGCATTTATATATATTTATAGGAAAAAATCTCCCTGAAAATGTATAATATTCACCTAAACTTTATTGTTCTCTAAAAGTGAAATAAAAATGTGCCTTATCAATGGGTCACTAGAGGGCACTGTGACTCTTCAAGTTCTCAAGTGGTACTGTTTGAAAAATTCTCCAAAAGGGATTTTGTATTTCAGTGAGATTTTATCTGGCATCCAGAAAAGTATAGTCAAATATGAGGAGTTTGAGGGGTGCACTTAGAACAATGTATGGGGCCGAGTAGGAGTTAAATGTTGGCTGAACCTGTGTATGAGCTGATTAGGAGGTTACACGTTTTGGTAACAGGAAAATCCAAGTCGTAGGAGTTGTTAAAATGTGAAAATGGTATGTTTTGATCTACCTTTTCAGCTCAAGACAATATTTTCAGCTAGCAACTTCTCATTTATTTTCCATTTTGGAGCATTTTATTTTACAGTTGTCTCTGTAAGCATGACTTAAGTCAACACATGACACTACTATTTATGAAATATGCATTTACATAATAGTGATTTTAAAGCACTGTTAACCATTATACCTTAGATTCTTCCCCTACAAGTGACCTGGGCCTTTAGTAGGTACTTTAGAATGTACCTGAAATAGCTTCAATAAAATACTTATTTTTACTGTTAAATATTGTGCTAAAAAGAAAACTATTCTTGCACCCATGATGATATTTTCCACTTGACTGCTAAACTTGGGTTCAAGTTAGCAAAATTGATAAAAGCATTGCTTTACCTTTCAAAGTAACTTCGTGAAGCACTCACATCCTGAGTAGTATATCAAGTAGCATCTCTAACAATAATTTATCTATGATTTCCATTTACACAACATAGTACCCTAAGAATATTAGAAGTGGTAGTTGCTGGTATAAATTTGTTAAATTGACAAATGATTTACCAAATTTTCTCTTTTATATATTTGTTATTTGTAGTAGGTTGTTGAGGAAAGAAATCCACAAATCATTAAGTTTGAGTTTGTTGTACCCTTATTAAGTGGAGTTGGTTTAATTGAAGAGGGATCTTATAAAGTTTTTAACTGATGCTGGGTTCTTCCCTTAATAAAATAGATAAAATAAAAAGACTCAGTCTGGGCATGGCGGCTCATGCCTGTAATCCCAGCACTTTGGGAGGCCAAGGCAGACGAATCAAGAGGTCAGGAGTTCGAGACCAGCCTGGTCAAATGGTCATCTCTATTAAAAAGTAGAAAAAATTAGTTGGGTGTAGTGGCGGGTGTCGGTAATCCCAGCTACTTGGGAGGCTGAGGCAGGAGCATCGCTTGAACCCAGGGAGTGGAGGTTTCAGTGAGCTGAGCTCGTGCCACTACACTCCCGCCAGGGCAACAGAGTTGAGACTCTGTATCAAAAAAAAAAAAAAGATAAAAAGACCCTTAGACACTTAATTTCTCCTCCTACGCCTCCTCTCTGGAAGCCAATCTATAAAAAAAAATCACTGTAGTCCCAGTTACATGGGAGGTTGAGGTGGGAGAATTGGTAGGACCCTAAACCCAGAAGTTTGAGTCCAGCTTGGGCAACACAGGGAGAACCCCTCCCTTTAAAAAAATCAGCAAATCAGTCATCCAGGTGGATTGATTCTCTTACTTAGTAACTAAAATCATCTTCCACAACGGTTCACCTGCTGTGTTCCCTCATTCCCTGAATTCAGGATTTATGTTTGACTAGATTATTTAATTCCTCCCTACCTTCTTTCTCTCAATAATCAGTCTAACAGGCTGTAGGGCTCTATGCCTCCAACTATGTGTACATTTACTATCTTTCTTTCTAGAGTGACATTTTCTAAAAATAGCCAAACCTTGCAATGTAATATCTTACTGTACATACGCTGGGTTCAAGACACATTTCTGTATCTGAAAGGTTCATTCCCTTTGCTGTAAGGTAGAAGATTTTTAATAGTGGTGGCAAGTCCTCCTATCTATATCAGTTTTACAGTATGATTGATGGAAAGTGAAATAAGGGCAAGGGTGGGTGTGCTTTTTGTCGTCTAGACTCAGGTAGCACTGAAATTGCCTCTGGTATTAGTGGCCTGTTTATCTTTTTTTTTTTTTTTGAGATGCAGGTTTGCTCTTGGCTGTGGTGCAATGGCATGATCTTGACTCACCACACCCTCGGTCTCCTGAGTTCAAGTGATTCTCCTGCTTCAGCCTCCCAAGTAGCTGGGATTACAGGCATGTGCCACCATGCTCAACTAATTTTGTATTTTTAATAGAGATGGAGTTTCTCCTTGTCGGTCAGGTTGGTCTCAAACTCCCAACCTCAGGTGATGGTGATCTGCCTGCCTTGGCTTCCCAAAGTGCTGGGATTACAGGTGTGAGGCCTGTTTACCTCTTAATGGTCCCATGCAGACATGGAACTCCCTACTTTAAATATCAGTTCTTTTCCTACTTTGGCACTCAGATCAAATCCATTTCTGCCCCCTTTCCACAACATGGTAATCATAGCTAACATTATTGATTATCTATATGGCAGGCTAAGCACTTCATATTTGCATAGAAGTCTTCATCATACTTTCTTGGCCTAAGCAGGACTGGCAATATGTTCTTTGAAAATTCAAAATGGAACATATTTCCAGAAAAGGTATCTTGTAGGCAGTAACTGAAAATCACTTGGATGTCAGTGACTTTCAGAATGACCCCAGGACTTCCTTCATTACACTTAACAAGTAATATTTTGGGGGAAGGGATTATAGAAGTAGAATATATGTGACGGGGAGCTCTTAAAATATTAAACACCTGTTTTTTCAAACTCTCAAATTAGTTTCCTTGCAGCTATTCCACCATTACCATTCCTGAGAAAGAAACACTGCCTAGGAAAGAGGAAGACAATTGTAAGAAAGCCTAGGTAAGACCAAGTAAGCAAAGCGAATAATCAGGCAAGCCTGGGGAGCCTTCTCCCACAGGGATAAACTTGGGCAGGTGGGATAGGTGATAAAAAGTGGAGGGATTTTGGACCTCATTACAGAGGAAAAACTTGACATCTGGGAGGGGAAGCAAGAAGAATCCTTACTGGGCTTGGAGGGAATTCACACCTGCACAGGATTTGCGTGAGGCTGCTCAGGCACTGGAAAGACGATGCTGCGCAGGCTCACAGATCACGTGGGACACCTCCCGTGAGGCGCGGCCCTCGGTTGCCACGCAGGTGCATTGCAGAACCTATGCTGCAGCAGCAGCTGGGTTAGAGGTAGGGGGAAGTTGCGCGCTCGCGGGGTGCAGGGGAGCCTGGGATCAGTGGGGTTCAGTTCGGGACTGACAATCCACTGGATAAAGAACACCCTAGAAGCGTTCTGTTGTGCCTGCTGGGGCCCAAAAGCCTCTTGAGCCCAGCACGATCTTGGTGGATTCCAGAGCACTCAGATCAAGGCCTGAGATGGCGGCCGAGCGCTGTCTAGGAGGCCCGAGAGGGGGCTGTGTTGCGTCTCCTCGAAGCCTCTAGTATCCCAAAGTGCTCACGATTATCCAGAAGTTACTCTAACTAGGGGGAATGTGTGTGTTACATCAGGAAAAACAGGAGTGACCTTAACTGGTAGGTTTACTTTTCTTCTAATGCCACTGAAAGTGGGAATTGAAAGCCACATTATATCAGTTATAGCTAAGAAAGGAGCCACATTTTCCTGAAACACTGGAGTGTGGTGTGTACTTTTCAGTCTCACAAAGCACACGGTGTTTTTAAAAACAGAAGAGCAGAATGAAAAAGTTAAGTTTCATCTGGGCAGGGAACCGCAAGTCCTATTAACATTGGTTGTATTTTCTTCTACAAAGTACACAACTGTATTGCAAAATTAGGGTCATACGGTATGTACAATTTTTGGTCCCAATTATACTTTATGCTTTGTTTTGAAAAATTTCCCAACGCTTGAAATATTCAGTGGCTAAAACTTGACTGCACTCTTCACCTTCCTCCTTTCTTTTCTCAAATGTTTCTTCTGGCCTCTTTATGGCCGCAACTGTCTCCTTTATACCTCTCTTGGGTACATCAGGCTTCCTCTTTTTCAGTCATGCTTGCATTTTGGGAAGGTTTTTTAGTAATGTAGCCACGATTAAGTACTCAGAGACTCTGTTGCCTTGTGTATATTCTGCTCCATCTGTGAATCAGTGCCTCATTCATAAATTGAATTGGGATTAGAAACCGACAGGCAAGGTGGCTTGTAATTCTGTATATTGAGAATATTTTTGAGAACTAATTAATAAGAGCAGTCTTACTGGAAAAAATTTCCAGAACCACAGCAAACCATACTCTCTATTCTTGCAGCCAAGTCATAAATAAATGTTCTTGGTGGAAAGAAGAGGGAGGATGGTTTTGTTGGGGTTAGCATATCAAGACCATGAGAAATGTCCACAGCTGTAAGAACCTGCTCTGCTAGGAATCTTGGCTGGGCACGGTGGCTCACACCTGTAATCCCAGCACTTTGGGAGGCCGAGGCGGGTGGATCACGAGGTCGAGAGATTGAGACCATCCTGGTCAACATGGTGAAACCCCGTCTCTACTAAAAATACAAAAAAAATTAGCTGGGCACAGTGGTGCGTGCCTATAATCCCAGCTATTCAGGAGGCTGAGGCAGGAGAATTGCCTGAACCCAGGAGGCGGAGGTTGCGGTGAGCCGAGATCGCGCCATTGCACTCCAGCCTGGGTAACAAGAGCGAAACTCCATCTCAAAAAAAAAAAAAAAAAAAAAAAAAAAATCTTTCCCCACCTATATAGAGAAGGGAGCTCCTTTTACTAGTGAAAAGTTTATTTTTACTGTATTTCTGAAAATTTTCTGTTTATTTTTATATTATGTCTTCAACTTAGGATGTACCTTACCCTCTAACTGGAGTCTCTGTCTATAGTCAATATTTTAAAATCTTGAGGTGAGTTTTACTAACATAGTTGTATTTTTGACTTTGACTTTAATCTAGACAAGGAAATGAGTCTAGAATGAATAAATGACTGATTTTAGTGGTAATTATTTAAGATGAGGTCCAGTTAATTACTTCTATATTTTAAAACTTAAAGATACCAGGTTTTATGTTTTATTATTTAAATAAGAGTTTATAAGAATATTTTCAAATTACTTTAAAAGAATGAAGCAGGCAGTAAAAAGGGAAATATATTCCTCCCTTTCCCCCATCTTAAAGTATACCCTTCCTATAACAAATCCAGCAAAATTCAAATTTGTAAATTTTCCTGATATTGAAGGGAAATTATTTTGGGTTTGAAATCTGAGACAATGATTATTTGCTCGGAATATATGAAGATGGAAGGATAAACAACTAGGAGGAAAGGTTTGCTTTAGAAATATTGTTTTAAGCTTCTGCCTATCTTTGCCTTTTTACTTTCCTGACAAAGGAGAAATGCTATTGTGAATTTTATTAGGTTCATTTATAGTATGTAAAATCATTTTCCGACTGGGCCCTTATATAGCAAATTACATTCTGGAGGTCATCGTAGAGAGCCATATTCCAGGCATAGCTAAGGAAATATAATTATTTTATAGCAATTAGGAATTTAGAGCCATGGTACCCAAACTGAGAGCACTGAATAAAAAGACTTGGAAGAGAATTAATTTAGCTTAGGCTGAGAAGACTCTTAGTATAAACAGCCTCTGGCTATGCTCAGTTTAAGTTTTACATATTAGGGAAAAAGCACACGTATTTTACCTGAATTTGGTACTATACATGGTTGCTTAAAGATTAGATATATTACCATATCTATGAAATGGAATAAAAGTCTTCTTGGTCTGGAGGCTCTCCCATACAAAGATAGGACCTTTCTGATGGTAGCTAGGTTATAAGAAGAAATTGGAAAAAAGGAGAGGCTGCTCTATATGTATATAATATCACAGGGTGAAGCAGAAAAATAATTCTGCAATATATTATAAATGTAAAGAACCATGTGTTGAAAAAAATCCTCTAAGAATTATAATGTGAGAAGGGAAGTTAAGATTAATAATAACTTTCATCTTAGAAAACACATTTTTCTTCTATATTACTTGATATCTGTACAAGCACTTAAATAGAGGTGTTTGCAGGCCTGGCACAGTGGCTCACGCCTGTAATCCTAGCACTTTTCTAATCCTAGCACTTTGGGAGGCCAAGGTGGGCGGATTGCCTGAACTCAGGAGTTCCAGACCTCCTTGGGCAACACGGTGAAAACTGTTTTTACCAAAATCCAAAGAATTTGCCAGGCATGGTGGCATGTGCCTGTAATCACAGCTACTCAGGAGGCTGAGGAGAATCACTTGATCACTTCAACCACAGAAGCAAAGGTTGCAGTGAGCCAAGATTGTGCCACTGTACTCCAGTCTGGGCAACAGAGTGAGACTCTGTCTCCAAAAAAAAGAGGTGTTTGGAACTAGGTTATACAATCTACGGTTCTTTGCAACAGTGTATGGCATCTTTGGAGATTTCCTGTCAACTTCTACACTTGATCTTAGCTAAAAGACCTAGAAGTGATTCCTGTCAGCTCCTAAGTGAAGGGAATTGTTTTTAAAAACTTTGTGGCTTCCGGGAAAGTTGGCTGTTGCCTGTAATCCCAGCATTTTGGGAGGCCAAGGCGGGTGGATCACCTGAGGTTGGGAGTTTGAGACCAGCCCCACTAACATGGAGAAACCCTATCTCTACTAAAAATAGAAAATTAGCTGGACTTAGTGGCACATACCTGTAATCCCAACTGCTTGGGGGGCTGAGGCAGGAGAATTACTTGAATATGGGAGGTGGAGGCTGTGGTAAGCCTAGATCATGCCATTGCACTCCAGCCTGGGCAAGAAGAGTGAAACTCCATCTCAAAACCAACCAACCAACCAACGAACCAACAAGCCCTTTGTGGTCTGAAGCTAGGCTTTGACTTGTACAATTTTTCCACATTATCTTTGCAAGTTTGATGCAAATTGATGTAACTGAGCAAGTATGGAATCATCATGGAGACAAAAGTAAGCCAATTCAGAGCGTCATTTGTTGCCAGCGATCACGGAGGACTAGTGTCTCTCCAACCTGTGGCCCCGAGCTCAGGGGGAGCAAGGGTTTTAAGTAGAAAACCCACATCCTGGTGGGGCACTGGGTTCTTTTTTGCCATCAGCGTTATGCAGAGCAAGCTAGCTGTTTTTCACAGAAGCCAAGGTCAGCAGTTATCACAAGGAAAATGGGGCAGCAAGCAGTTATCACAAAGGAAACAGGGCAGCAGTTACAACTTATTTTTGGAAGAACCGTTTTTCTTGGTGGTTGCAGGGTACAGGGTTTGAAATGGTGTTGCTTAGGTTCTAACCCTGGGTCAGCTATGGCACATCGAGAAGAAAAGGAAAAAACAAGGTTTATTCAGTATTGTATAAGTTTTACCTGGGGAAAAATAATACAAATTATTGTTATTATTTTGAGGGCTATTTTCTTGTTTTCCCTCTTTGTGGAGGACATATACCCCTTGTGTGGACTGAAAGTGTTTGTTTTATAGACCAAGTTCTCCAAAATATACAGCTGTTTCTCTTTTATTATTTATTGTTATGATATAAAAATACCATTTTAAAGAAATCATATTTATGGAATATTGTGTGTGAAGATCATATGGCTATTAGATATTAATAAATTAGCCACTTAAACAGAAAATGTCCTGAAGCCCTTGAAACTTACATTTGGTATTCAGCATTTGCATTAGCCAGTATCTGCCTTTCTAGTTTTAGTAGGAGAAACACTACCCTCCTTTCCCCCTTATCTATCCTGCGTGTCTGTTACATTTAACCAAGTATCTAGCATGTATACTGTCAGAACTTAATAAGGAAGTGTTTGTATAAAAATTCCAATAAAAGGAATGGAAAAGAAAGGCTTCCTCATATCTTACAGGTTTTATTGTCTTTTTCCCCGTTTGTAATCTTGGCACATACTATTACGTGAAGATTATGACAGTGTTCACAAAAAGTCTTGTGCTGTTTGACATAAATATCACAAGTTACAAATAAGTTTCCTTTGCTAAATGATAAATATGGCAAATGGGAAATAATTATCTTTTCAGAATGCTTTTTGACTCCCCTCTGTCTGGTCTTAAAAATGTTGCTGTTTCTTTTTCTTCCTTTGTTCCTCATCTGTCCTCATGCTTTACTCGACTGAAGTCAGTCATATAGTTTCAAAGAACATCTGAATACTAGTGACTCCCAGATTTATAGTTGTAGTCTAGGGCCACCTCCTGCATTTCTGATATATATAAGTAGAGATCTCCTTTCAGTTGTCCCATAGACATGGCATGCATTAATTTATTCATTCACTCAGTGCATTTTTGTTGAGGACCTATTATGTACCAGGTACTTAACATGTCCAGAACTTGCCATTCTACTTGTTTTCTGTTTTATCTCAATAAACACTTATCTACAGATAACAAAAATGGAAACCCGGGACCATTTTTCCCCTTATTTCCTTGATGTTAATGATAATAAAAATATTGGTCTGACACTGTGATAGGCATTTAACATATTCATATATTTCATTAACTCATCTGTTCCATGGTGAGCAGGTCTATTCTATGCAAACCTACCTGCAAAGGCCAAAGAAGCTGAGGCCAAAGAAAGAGGCTGATGAATCCAGCTTCCTAGAAAGAAACAATTAATAGGGACTTACAAACAGAAGCCATGTCTTGGGCAGTTGGAAGAGGAGATAGTAGATCCCTTCCCCATTTATCCCCAAACCCAAGGCTTATGTAGCATAGGGAATTTGCCTAAATGCAGGCTTTATGGCAAGTATGTGCTTTACAATGCTAAATTAAGATTAGCGTAAAGGCAGCCTCCTTACATATTTTAAGTCTAGCCTCAAGTTTTCTTCCTACACTGTGAACTACAGCCTAACCGGATGTGTTAACAGGCTATAACCTATCCTGTGCCAATCACTGTGTTTTGGTCCATTAAAGGCAACCAGCTGCTCAAACTGTGTTGAAATAAGGCAAATACTGAGCTATAACCAATCTGGCTGTTTCTGTACCTCACTTCTGTTTTCTGTATGTCAGTTTCCATTTGCTGTCCATAAATCTTTGACCACGCAGCTACACCAGAGCTTCTCTGAAACTACTATTCTGGCTCCGGGACTACCTGGTTTGCAAATTGTGCTTTGCTTAATTAAACTGTTAAGTTTAATTGGTCTAAAGTTTTTCTCTTAACAACAACAATATCATGATTGTTTTGACCCAAGGGCAAAATTTATGGTAAATACATGAAAGTAGAAATCTTAGAAGCAATTCCCAGACTGGGTTTAATCAGAAGTCAATATGGCAGATTAGCGTCTAAGATGGAGTTGCTTTAGAGTCCATAATATCAAATCCTTGCAACAACTCTATGAGCTAGAAACTATTACTATGTTTTATTTTACAGTCAGGGAGGAATTTGAGTTGAGAGTTACGTATATTATTTTAGGTCACACAGCTGGTAGGCGGGAAAGCCAGGTCTGAACCAAGGTCGTATGTAGTAACAAGACCAACTGATTTTCCTTTATGAAGATCACTGATATGTCCCCCTTTTCTGTATCCTCTCTTTCTTGGCTTCTTAGTATACTTGACTATTTTTATACTTCTATTATTTCAACTATACAAGTTTCTTAACTTAATTGTTTACATGTTGGTCTTCTCCCCTAGGGTCTGAATTCCTTGAGGCCAGAGACCATCTTCATTCACTTAATAGTTGTATCTAAAACGGTACATTAAGTACCGTGAATGAGGACTAAGTGACCCTGTATATATAGCTCAGATAAACTATAGAATTTGAGAGTTTGCTCAGAGTCACAGATTATTTTATAATTTTGGATTATTATTATTATTTTATGATTTCAAGATTAAGAATGTGTAAGAAGTTCATGATCGGCCTGGAACTAATCTTAATTGATTGGGTAATGGTATTAGCACACTTCCCGCACTAAAATTTCAGGAAATGTAAGTTTTTTTTTTTTTTTTTCCAGAGATGTGGTTGTCCTGTGTTTCCTAGGCTGAACTCTTGAACTTCTGGGCTCAAGCAATCCTCTTGCCTCAGCCTCCTGAATAGCTGAAGCTATGTGAGTCACTGTGTCTGGCTTAGGCTTCATTTTGTACTTGGTTCTCAGTTACTTTAGCCATATTTCTTCATAATTCTATTTGTATGTATTATTTAATTCATGATTTCCCCATGTTTCTTTCTTTTATTTAAAAACAAAATAGTTCAAATGTGTGGATAAAAGTATTAGTATTCTCTGACATAGTGGATCTTAAAAATTCAAAAATGATTATTATTATTTTATTTTAGGAGCAACCTAGCACATATCAACTACTGAAAAAACAAAATAAAACAGTACGAAAACAACCACACCAAAAGATACAGTTTGTTTTGGTGTATCTCTGAGAATTTTCTCAGCACTGATGATGATTATTTAAGAGGACAATTTCTATGTTGATTATTATTTTAGCAATGTGCATTCATTATAAATCAGTAGCATTTCTTTAAGAAGCTATTATTTAATAATGTTAAGGTACTCCTTTCTGCAATGCAATAGAGAAATTTACAATTTTTAAAACATGGATTATAGTTTTTCTTGTCTTGTTAATGGAACACTGCTCTCTTTAAAGATATGCCTTTTCACATGTTATAAATTATGTGTTTATAACACTCCCATTTTTGGTAGACATTTAAAAATGTGTCTACAGTTGACCCTTGAACAATGCAGAGGTTAGAGACCCTGACCCTTTTGCACAGTCAAAAATCCACATGTAACTTACCCTCCCAAAACTTAACTACTAATAGCCTACTGTTGATTGGAAGCCTTACCAATAACATGCTATTGATTGGAAGCCTTACCCATAATGGAAGTGGTTGATCAGCACGTATTTTGTATGTTATATGTATTATATATTGGATTCTTACAATAAAGTAAGCTAGAGGAAATATCATTAAGAAAACCAGAAAGAGAAAAATATATTTACTTCATTAAGTAGAAGTGGATCATCATAAAGGTCTTCGTCCTGATCATCTTCATGTTGAGCTGGCTGAGGAAGAGGAAGAAGAGAAGAGGTTGTTTTTGCTGTCTCAGGGTAGCAGAGGCAAAATAAATTCACATATGAGGACTCATGCAGTTCAAACATCAACTATTTGCATAGGAAAAAAATCAATGAAATGCTTATATGGTTCATTACTGGAGATAGTATTTTAGGAGACTATTTCCTTTATGTTTTACTCATATAAGTTTGCATGATATCCGAGGGAAAATGAGATATATTTAAAAAAAGAAAAATCCTCGAATGTGTATCAGTGTAATTTTAATGTGATGGTATCTTTCTGGGATGACTATTTTAAAGCAGGACTCAGCATTACAAGGCTTCTCCAAAACATATTCAATTATTTACGTGTGTTAGTGAAAAGGGGAAATTTTACTGAAGATTTCAAAGGAAAAGAGGAATAGAAAACTTAATAAAAATCCCTTTTTAAATTTTCCACAATTGTTTTCCTGGTATAATCCATGTCACATTTTCCTCCAACTTCTCAAATAGTTTTTCCAGCCATACTGGGTCTTGGCTTCTTTTCTTTTTCCTCTTAGAGTTTTCTCTTCCCCTTTTTTTTTGAAGAGTAATTATAGCTCTGGTAGATTTTTTTTTTTGATTTTTAATTCTTTCACTCAATAGCCTAATCAACTGACAAAGGAAATGAAAAATAAAAATGAAAATTTTACAAACACCGGAAGGCCTTTTCAAAGAAGATGCTGCAGACACTGTCAGTTCTGAGTATCCACATTTTATGCTAACAGAACATAGGTTTTGTTTGGAATAACAACGTGCTCCCTCCAGTGATGGGCCATAAATGTTCTAAGTCAGTGTGTCTCAATGGAGTCACTGTGACTTTTGAGTAGCGCAAGTCTTCATTGTAAAATATTGTTCTTAGCATTTCAGTGCTTTCGGCATCACTGGCTTCTATGCACTAAATGCCAGTAGCACTATTGGTATCCACACCATCACTGTGATAATCAAAATGTTCTCATGAATATTATAACATTCCCTGGGGAGCAGGAGAGTGATGTTTTTACTGGTTGAGAACCACTGGTGTAAGCTAATCATGACATTCCTGCCTTCTACTTCCCAGCCTTCACATAGCTAATTGTAGCCCTGTGATCCACTGAGGGGCACTAGACCTAAGGGAAGTCAGCTACAAGGGCTTCAAAAAAGCATTCTTAAGGATAGATGTAGCTGTTATTGCTCTTTGCTTTCTTCTTCCTGCCCTGTGTGAAGAACTAGTGGAAAGATGTAGAAGCCATTTTGTAATCATCAGGAAACAAACTATTTCAAGAATATTGGAGTAAGTATATAGAAGGAGCCTCTATCTTAAAAGATTTGCTGCAACACTAGCCTCTTTATCTCCTCTATGTGAGGAAAATAAACCCCTTTTGTCTTATTGACTGTTAGTCAGGTCTTCTATTACTTGCAGCTAAAATCACTTTTAACTGAGAATATGATGAATGGATTCAGTGGATTCTTGGATCAATGTCAATATAAGACAAGAATTATACAACTTTAGTCAAACGCTTTTACAATATGCCTCGTTGTGCTTGGTGAAAAATATTATTCTATGAAAATGAGAATGCTATATAGAAATTTTTAAAAATGTGACAACTGAGAATAATATTTTCACATATATTTAGGAAAAACCCCACAAATTCCTAAATCTACTGGAGAAATAGCCATAATAATCTCTTTTTCCCCAGGATCTAGATGTTTCTTAAGCCAAATTCAAGAAGTTTTAAATAGATTTTGAGAGGAAGAATTTATATATTTCACTTAAATTACAAATTTAAATAGTCAGGGTTGGTATCTAATGTAGTCTGTGTTCATTTAGAAGAGAGAGAGATATTTGGAATATAATTCTTGCTTGAGCATGGCATTTGAAGCTCCTAAGACTCACAGTGTTTGTTTATTCACTGTGTCCTGTCTTCTTTCAGTCATGACATCATCTTAGGTGCCTATAGTGTTCATGTCTGTAGCTCTTCAGCATCTCTCATCTTCTTTGTTACTTGTTTCCAGACAAGTTTACTTCCTTTCTACTTATTCACTCTTTTCCATGAACCACACCCTGGACTTTTTTATTTCCTAAGAAATAATAAACCACTCTACAAATTCCTATCCTTCATAGTCTCTTATTCCATTACTTCAACTATAGAAATTTGTTTTTTCCCCCTCAGATGGACCTTTTTTTTTTTTTTTTTTTACCCCTCTGCATTCTCTCTATCGATTACTTCTTGTCTTTATTTTTTTGAGACAGAGTCTCGCTCTATCGCCCAGATTGGAGTGTAGTGGTGCAATCTTGGCTCACTTGCAATCTTGCCTCCCAGGTTCAAGGGATTCTCCTGCCTCAGTCTCCTGAGTAGCTGGGACTACAGGTGTGTGGCACTACACCTGGCTAATTTTTTAGTTTTTAGTAGAGAAGGGGTTATGCCATGTTGTCCAGGCCAGTCTTGAACTCCTGATCTCAGATGATCCACTTGCCTCCACCTCCCAAAGTGCTGGGATTATAGGCGTGAGCCACCATGCCCATCCCTGTCTTTATTTTTTATGTTACCCAGTTTAATTTCTGTAGTTCATCATTTCAACTAGTCTTTAAGCAGTTTCCTAAACTTCCTTACATTTTACATGGCCCGGCCATCTTTTTATTTTATTTCTTTTGTTCTACAAAGAAGCTCAATGTTTTTATTCTGCTTGGACTCCAGCCATGTACATCTTCCTTAGCCAACCACTCCCCTCTTAACAGAATCACATGTATTTTACTTTATAAAGAAAATCTACACTATATTCATCTTTTATTCATTCAATCCTATCATAATTATAATTTTTGTTTAAGTATAATCTCTCTACCTGAGCTCTGGATTGCATCTCTTATCATCCTCCTCTCAGAAACCTTGCTCAATGAATTATTCCATATTTCTTTCTGGCACATTTGGTTAGACTTTAAATAGGTAAAAATGTGTTCCATTTTGTAAACAAACCATACTTAAATCTCTCTTCCCTTTCTGAGTACTCTTGATTTCTCTTCACTCCCTTGCATTCAACCATTTTGAAAGAGTTGTTTACACTTATTGCCTCCTCTTTTACCTCTATTCCTTTTTAAACTCACTGAAATCTGACATCTACCTCCACCACTCTGTATTAGTTCCTTGGCTTGGCTGAAACTCCTCTTTTTGAAGTCACTAGTGATCTTGCTAAAGCCAAGAGGCATGCCTCAGTCATTATGTTATTTGACCTGCTTCTAGTATTTGACTCTATTGACCTTGACACACTTTGTTTCCTTTGACATCCATGACATATGAGATTTCCTTTTACCTTTTTGGGTGTTCTCTCTTATTCATCTTTGCAGGCTTCTCTCCTTTAGGAGCCTTTCTTATAGCCTTCTCTTTTCATTCTTCAGTTCTTATAATAGGTTATCTATTTCTGTGGCTTGAAGTATGAGCCATATGCTGATGATTCCCAAGTGAATGATTCCTTCTCAGTAATCACATTTGAACTCAAAATCAGTGTATTCAACTGCCCATTAGATGTTTTCACTTGTCTATCTTATTGGTATTTTGAAATAACATATCATCTCTTCCCTCCAAATTTCTTATCCTCTGTTGTTTCCAATCTCATTAAATAGCATCATCCAATTATTTCAGGGAGAAACTTGGAAATCATCTTTGACTTCTCCCTCTCCCTTGTGTTTCATATCTAAAGATAGCCACATTCCTATTTGTTCCACCTTTTAAATATTTATCTGATCGCTAACTTCTCTCTATTCCTATTGCTGTTTTCCGGTTTGAGTTGACATCTACTGGTCATCTAGAATAATGTGAAAGTCTTTTATTTCATGTTCATGCCCTAATCTTTCCCTCTTTTAATCTACTCAAATGCATATATTACTATATTACTTGCCTGTTTAAAATCCCCCAGTGACTTCTAGTGATTCTTATAATGTACACTCTTAAGCATGGCTTATAAGGCCCTGTCTGCTTCTTTACATACATCACTCACCACTTAACCTTTTTTATTCTAAGCATTAGACATCCTA